CAAATTACTAGAGAGGCAATAGAGGGAAATTCCACCACCAGGGTCACTTACAATATAGTTGTTGGTATCTTTAGCTATAAATATCTCAAGGAAAGCTTTAAAAGAGGTAGAATTATTAATTAATTATTAGTTATAATGATTGTGTGTGAGCATTGTGACAGACTAGCAGCCTGTCCAAATATCTACCCCCCTACAGGCACCCTATGCCACCCTATGACAAGCTCCAGCCTCGGTCAGAGAGAATAAATGCATGCGTGTGAGCTTACTTAATTTCCTGGATTTTGCTAAGACGAGGCAGGAAATCCAACAATTTCTTCAGACCCTTGTTGCCTAAACAGTTACTGGACAAACTGAAAAGAAAGGTTAAAAATGCTTTACAACTCAGTGTTTGTACATTTATCAAGAGAACATGACAAAAATGAGTCAGTATATCAATATCAGTAGTGCACACACACCTGAAATGTGTAATGAGTGTGAACAGTGGTCTCTTTTTCCTCTAAATGTGATACATTTGTTGAGATCTTTCTATTAATACTACAAATTACAGTTATTTACAATATTTATATATAATTAAATATGCGTGTGTGACATGCATAATAAATTTGTTAAGCACTGTATAAGCTATCTAATGGTTACCTGTAAGCAAAAACCATGATGGTGCATCATTTAAGAGGTGGTTTAGGATGTAGTGGTTAGCTACTTCATAAACTGAGCATACACTGTCATTTTTAGAATAATGTCCAAGACATCAGTTTTTAACACAAATGTGTAGTAGAAAGTTTTTTTGGATTGCCCGACACACTTGTAAATATCTTTCCTTTCTTTGCACCATTATCTTCGTAATTGTAGACACTTGTATTCATACGGCTCCCCCTGAAAACTTTCTAGGCTTTTTACACATAAATTTATTATCTACTAATTAGAAATGGTCCTATTTTTATTATCTGTCCATGGTGTGTGCACTTTCATGGTTCTTGCTCATCTTACTCCAGCATAGTGAGATCAGAAGAGGTTCCCAGACATCTCAACACACTTTTCAGATCAGCAGGATACAGATTGCAGAAGCTGAGGCTGAAAGACGCAAAAGCTGAATGATTATCATTAATACTGATGACATATCATTATTGGACAAAGGATACACCTGAACAACCCATTATAACAATTAAAACATTAAAACTTTTTGCTAGATAACTGATGGTCTGTTGGTTACCAGCTTAAAATGATCGCTTTACTCATTCTAAATGCTACCCTACTATTGTTCTGCAACATCAAATATATTGTTGTTGTAAGCTTGTGTTACAGAAGCATTAACATACCAGAGAGATTTGGATATTCCGCTTGCAGGTTTTTCCCTTCCCCTAGCAAACACAATAGACACCTTAACAGGAAACTGTAATCTGCAACATAAAGAAACATTCAGATACAGAGCAGAGATGACAGCAATAACTCTAACATAAATCTAATTTTGCATTTCCTGGTACAGTATGTCTAGAAGTTCCTGCAACTATGGTTGCTAAGATTAAATGCGTGTTTGTACCTGACATGAAGCTCCATCACAGGAGGATAATCAGACAGTAGAGCAGTCAGAACCACCAAACCCTCCACTGATGAGCAGCTGTCATTAATGCTGAGAAAAGATTGTAAAACATCAGCTAAATGCTGCTGGATTTTATGTGCAGGTATAGCAAAGTGCACAGCAAGCACAACACAAACAATTGATTTCTTTTAAAACCTAGTCTTACATGAGCTTGTCAGTAATGCTGAACTTTGGCAAAAACTCAGTCAGTGTCCTTAAAATGTCTTCATCCCACTGGCCTCCAGACAGACTAGAGTGCAAAGACATACAGTAAAACAGCCACACACATTGACAGGCCTTTGGCTAGCATTCATTTACCAATGTAATATGCACACAGTGTAGTTTGCAGATTGTTCAACTACTTTAGCAGAGCGAAAATAGTAAGTCAATAACTAGTGCATTGTTGCTATTCTATTCATTACTGATGTTGTCTGTGTCATAAGCTCTGAATAGGTTTTTCTAATTATGAAGGTGTGTACTTATGAAATCTTACTCTAGGACAGACAGCGCAGGGCATCGAGCCAAGGATTCAGCAAGTTTCTGCATCTCAGACTTGTTCCAATTCTGGTTCAGCAAGCTGGAGAAAAATGACACCATCATAATGCAAACGTCCATGATACAAAAACCTCAAAAATACTAAACTGTGACATTTAGAGTCACATTTAAATCAACATCCATTGTGGACTTGCTACATGTATATCTTTGTACTACATTGTTGATGCTCAATAAACATTAAAAAAAAAAATTAAAACTAAAAAAATAAATCAACATCCACATAAACGTCCTTTCTAGTCACGATGTTTTGAAGCCAAAAAAAACAAACAAACAAAAGAAAACAGTAAAGGTGAATGCACATTTGGCTGACACCCATTTAAAGGTGCAAAGTTTATCAAGGAAACTGGCAAAGCTCTTTGGTAAGGCAGTTACGGTAAACTGACTTGTTTGTTTCATATCTTACCTGATTGTTGATTCAAGTATAGATTTATGGCTGTAGAGCGGAAAATATAAATATATCAGAATTTTACTATGTTCATTTTATTGCTTTATTTAGTTTATAAGCATAAAAGTCACCTGTTCATATCTGACTTTTGGAAGAAAGTTACTGTCAAGTCTTTGATCCCCCTGCAAAGAAAAAGAACCTGGACTGGAGTACACGTTTATGACACACTTATGTTTACCTGGTCTTGTCATTATAACTTCATCAATAGCAATCAGCTACTTTGAATTTCAGGAATCTCAAATCTCTATGGCTGAGAAAATATTAATAGTGCAGTGAGCATTACTGACAAAAGCGAGTTAAAATGTGTGTAATTTTTATTTAATTTAAACAACAATCCCTGTGCCATAACTGTGCTTTAACCACCACTTCGTGTGCATGTGTGTGTGGTCTTACTCTGCATGAACATGTTGGATGTTCAAACATGAAGACATCGTTTTAATAAGACAGTCGACTGCATTCAGGGTTGTGCTGTTTCGTCCCAGCCTACAAAGAAGCACACACACATATGATCACCACACAAAGTCTTCTGCATTGTTAAGTACAGACGAGTCTTTGCATTAGAAATGTGAGAACTTACGCTACATTCGAAAGGTTTTGTAGTTTGGTAAAAATCTCTGCAATGCGACTGATTCCTTCATCCCTCAAATTGTTGTCACTTATGCTGAAAAAAAACCCCAGAAGAAAAATGAGCAGAAACTTTAAGCTCAGCATTATTAAAAGCATCTGGATAATCGAGCAGTAAGCTAATCGTGCACTATATTGAACAACAGAAGATATACTTGATATCAGTGATGTGTGGACACTCCTGAAGACCAGAGGCCAAACTAGCTGCTCCAGTAGCAGTCAGGCTGGCACCAGAAAACCTTGTGAACACAAACACAAACAGGTAATTATTGTCGTTAAGGGACAATTACCTTTAATATATTTTTCGCAGGAATAAAGCAACGATATAAAACATACTCTAGTTTTCGCAGGGATGTGAATTTAGGCAAAACAGACGACAACTTCTCAGCAAACTTGTCCCCATATTTGCGGCTGTGAAAACTGTAAGGACACATAGTGAATTATTCATAAGGAAGCATCAGATTAGAAACTGCAAAAAGAAAAACAATCAGTTCAAAGCCTCAATTTAAAACAAACAAACTGCTTTTTACCAGCATCTCTATAGTTGATAGAATATTTCTTGATGCTGCTATGTTTTTAATTACAAATTATTATCTAAGCCGCCAGGTGGGAAATTCCAATGCTTAATCTTTTCTTGAATTAAAGAGGATAAAACAGACTCGGATTCCCAGAATCATAATATGAGATGAGATCTATTTGTTTAAATGTCAGTGTGAATGTCTGAACATAACTAAATAAGTTACCATATATAAAAAATGGTAACTCTTTCTTAAAGAGGTGGTGACAGAGACAGATTTCTGTGACGCAGGGAATCAAACTAGATTCACAGACTACAAACTGAAAGCCAAAGTAAGGTTTATAGGAGCTTTGGAGTTGTAACCTGTAATCTCTTTTAACCCTGTATAATATTTGATACATGAGATTTTGAGACCTATATATTATCAGCATGTTTCTAAAAAAAAAAAAAAAAAAAAAATGAAACCTCATACATGGAAACTGTTATTTATTGATTTTTTTAATTGTCAGCATTTGTCCAATTTGTCAAATTAAAAGAAAATCAAATGTCTGGCATTAATCCATGCTTCAGGCTTTACGGTTAATAATTCACTCTATGTAATCCAGAATAAACTGGAACTAAATCCCCGTGACAGAGGTAATTTGATGGGATTGAACACCGGTTATATCACGTTTGCTTTACTTGTATAATTTGTACATGGTTTGGGGGTTTACAGCAGTTTTCTGAATTATAATTTTCACATTTCTAAATCATATAATGACGGATAGTTTATTACATGTACCAACAGTATTGTTAGTGTTTTACATGTGGATGATAACAACTTTTTTTCACTCAATAGTCTTTTCATTGGCTGCCTTCCAGGTGGCTTTTCTTGCACATGCTTTCTCTCACACTGTATGCTCTCTGGTGTTTGGAGCCCATCTGGTTCTATGTATGGGTGGTCTCTATTTGTCATGTCCAAAATGAAATAAGAAATATGTGCCGGTATTCTTTTTGTTTTCATATTTGTCAAGATCAAGAACCGGGTACTGGGTTTAGGATTAAGAGTTGGATGACTGCCCAAATAAAAAATCTAGTTTAATAGCTTACTTGTGCCTGGGTGAGATAAAGTATACACATGAAATAATTATGGTGTAACTATGTGAGAACTGTAGAGAGCAGCTGATAAGTTCTGCTTGCACCCTTGACTGTTCAGTAGTTCTAGTCTGCACAGGAGGATCGAACCACTGTCAGTAAAACAACATTTTCTGCTCACCACAGCTGTAAATATCTATTTCAGGTACCTTCTGCATCTTGTCAACAAGATATTTTCTGTGTATAGAGTTCCTACGCTGCTGTTCTGAACATACTTATAGACTACTGTGTACAGTCACATTTTTCCTCATTCAAATTTTCCAAGTTATCATTACAGTTTATGACTTGTATGTAACTGGTTCTCTTTATAACCACAAGCAGATGTATTGGTGTTCGTAATAAAATTGAGGTTTCGGTTTGTTTTACACACACATTAATGAGCTGCAGCACTTTTTCAGACACTGTCTCGCTTTACTTTTAATGTCTGAGCTGAAATCTTTATGGTCAATGGAACTTTATTTGATACCAAGATATCTTAGTTTCACAATATGTACGGGTTACGCTATATTTGTCATTAAATTCTTGTTTTGGATAAGGAAAACATCAGGAAGAGCAACTAAGGAGGGATAGCTTTCCCGCTAGACAGACATTAGATGTTAGTGTGCATAATTATATAAAATTAACAATAAAGATGCTTCAACTTTCAGAATTAGGCAGTATAAACAGATGACTAACACGATGTGACATGACAACATGCAGCTTACAGATTTTGCTAAACAGATAGGCCCCGTCCCACCCACTCTTCAAGACATGCAAGTGCAAACTTGTGTGGAAAAACATTCTTTTTCGAGTAGATAAAGAAATACTTTCAAAGAATCAGTGGTCGTGTTTTTGCAGTTGAGTCCAGACTATTTTCTGTCTTCTTGTAACAAGAATACTGAGCTCATTCACTGTCACTGTATGACAGGTGGCCAGTCAGCTGAGGAATGTCAAAGGCAAAGCTGCAGCTCTATTAACAACAACATTCACTGCTGCTGTGTGACTAGTCCTCTCTCTGCATGTCCGTGGGCTAAACATGGGTTTTATAATTTCTGACAGATCAACACCGTCCATTTCAACACTCTCATGTGTCACAATGATGGCTTTCCAATGCTCCTATAGTGCATTCCCATAAATATCATATGAATAACCTTGTGAAACCTTTTCAAATAAATGCTGACCTGTAAGATTTAACATATCCAGGATGGTACAGTAATATAATAAAAACCCTTGTCTCAAAATCAAAATAAACTTTTGTATTCTAATTAATAGTTTATTTTTGCTAGTTTTATTTAGGTTAGCTAAAAAAAATTACACGTAGGTTTCTGGAGGGTTTTTGTTACTTTTTAACTACTGTAACTCGTAAACATCTGTGTAGCCTCACCTGAGGTTATGAATGCCCTGACACCTGGCCAGAACTATTAAACACTCCAGCTCCATGGAGCACGCTCCGAAGTCCAGACCGATGTCATTATGATCGGCTGAATTAACTACGAAAGCCAGAGCTTCGATATCATTCGGTAACAGCCAGATGTTGCGCAGCTCCAGTTTGGGTCTCACACCAAAAACCTGCTTGGCGAGTTGGTGGCTCTGGCTCTCCTGAACACTGTGGCAAAGCTGGAGTATCTGGAAAAATATAGCAAAGAAAAGATCAGTAACAAAGAGACAGAAAATTAAATCTGTTTCCTGTTTTTCATTCTACCTTTGGTCCGGTCAGAGTGTTACTGTTACACATGGTTTTGAGCAATGTCAGAACAAGGTCTTGCCGTTTCTGGACCCAACTTTGGGCTCTACCAGAAACCTTGGCTAACTCAACCAGGGCTGGAGTGCATTCTGAGGAAGCCAGACCGCAAACATAGAGGTACAGTGAGTCAGTGAAGACCGTCTTCTGGTCTGATTTGGTTGTCCAGCGAGTTTTCAGACTGAATCTGAGGATATAATGAGAGGAAAGTCAACTTCTGAATTATGATGCAAATTAAAGCATGTTACAACACTGTCCAGATGATAGTTTCAACACTCTTCTGGGAGATGTGAATAATAATAATATGACCTGGCATACTTTGAAATACAATAAATAATATTATTTTAAGATTTAACAGGTAGGACAAAAGCAAACAACTTCTACAGTGCAGCCTACAAAGCAAACAGAGTGGGAAGAAAGCACAGTACACCAGTTTGAATGGTTTGCATCTTTTCTTCTGTTCAGGTGCATTAATTTTACTACATTCCCCAAATGCTCACGGAATGAAACACAACAAAACGTCGAAGCCAGAACTGAACTAGTCATTTTGCAGCTGCCTGACTGATTTCAAACCAGACGCCTCCAGAACCTCACTCAGAAACATGTGAAATCAAAGGGTTAAATGAGGAAGTGTGAGCAAACAGACCTGTTATCTAATCCTTTAAGGAACTGGGTATGGGTGAGGTCCTTTTTGCAATCCACCTTGTCAACTAAATATGATTAAAGTGTGAACACCATCAAAAAAATGTAGTGATTCTTTAGGGGAAACAATGTGAGATTTATTAAAATACAGCTGTATGAATAGATTTCATGGTGTTGTAAACCTGAGTGCTGCAGCAATTAAAAAAGCAATTAATTAATTAAAATTTAAGTCATTAATGAATGCGTGCCCCCTGTTTAAATACTCTAAAGCACAAGTTACTGTGTTGTGGCTGCAGTTATTTAAAAAAGTCCTAGAGAAGGAGCTTCAAGTCTATATATGTTTGGACATATGAGAATGGATCTGAAGCTGAAAAGGGGATGGAAGATGAGCTCTATAAGGGAAGGGTGCAATTTGGATGTCAGAGGGTGGAGCTTAGCATCTGTGGGCTCTGATGCAATTAAATTCCTGCTTTTAAAATGACTCGTGATAAAAACAACATCCTTTCACAAAAGAATAAATAAATCCATGAAGCTGCATTGTCATTTTTAGAGGAAGCAGTAGCATGTGGTGGAGTACAACCTGGGGTTGTGATATATGTTAAACTACATGTAGCCACATACAAGAGGCCTCTTAGCGAGTGATTATGGTCGCCTGCTGCTTAGTTATGTCAGCTGTGCCATATTTCAATTTCAGTGCCCCCACCTTTGCACAGTCTCACAGACTCTCGCAGTGTGATTTGAGCCATCACTTTATGCCTACATCAGTGTTTTCTGATGTAAGGACTAAGGACAAATATGTCTCGTACTGTAGCGTGCTTAACTCGCACAGCTCAGGTTGCTTCCATGGCAGAGTTATTCCTGGTATACCGTGTGACTTTACATAGTCAAATTCCATCTTGCTTTCTTCCACATATTCTAAATGAGATTCATTAATTAACTGTTGAATCTTTAAATATATTCATCATGCTTCTGCTGTGTGTGTGAGCTTCTCTTTTAGCTTAGGCGACAAACTTTTGTTTCCACAGCTTTTCAAACACGCCATCACACACTAGTGTCTACCTGATCTGAAAGGAACTTATCTATTTCGGGACCAGGCAGAGACTGCCCAGCACCGAGTTGGGAGGACAGGTGTACACAGAAGCGTCATTCAGCTAGGGCAGCAACAAGAAAGGTGACCGTATTTAGGACATTTTGTTCATTTGGTTAATTAACAAAATTATTTCCAGGATGTAAATTTGCGGATAATTTAATCAATCAATGTGTAATAATGTCGTGAATGTTATGCTGTTATCTGTCATTTGAATTTGTCCCTCACCAGTGAGAGAGTAAAGTGCAGGGGTTACTGTGTATGTGCCAGTAGACTAAAATAGTATCTGGCTATTTTCTTAGGTACACCTTGCCAATTTTGAGTTATACCCCCCCCACCCTTTGCCCTCAAAACTGTCTTTATTATTTGTGGTACAGACTCAGCAAGGTGTTTTCATGTTGCTTATACCAAATTCTGACCTTTCTGTTTAAATGTCAAAGCAGAAATCCAGACCCATTAGGCAATCTTGTTCAATTTTGGTGAGCCCATGTGACTTGTTGCCTCAGTTTCCTGTTCTTAGCTGGCAGGGTGGCACCCGGTGTGGCCTCCTGTTGTTGTAGCACATCTGTTTCAACTTGTAACTTATTCAGTGATGCTCTTGTAGACAGCTTGGTTGTAACAAGTGGTTCTTAGAATTATCAATTCTGTTCTTTCAGCTCAAAGAATTCTGCGCGTTCTCCCATCACCAACACATTTTCACCCAGAGAACTGTCACTCACTGGTTATTTCCTCTTTTTCAGACCATTCACTGTAAAAACTAGAGTTGGTTATGTGGGGAAATTCCAGTAGATCAGCATTTTCGGAAAAAAACCCAGACCAGACCATCTGGCACCAGCAACCACGCCACGTCACTTAAATCACCTTTCTTCCCAATTCTGATACTTGGTCAGAACTTCAGCAGGTCATCTTGACCGTGTTTTGATGCCAAAAGTAGAGAGCTTCTGCCGTGTGACTCCGTAGTTTCTCCATCAGGTGGGCTATATAACCTAAACAGGTCTTAACACTGCAATCATCTTAAAAATTACACCCATATTTCTCTCCATTTGGCTTCCTTACCTCTTCTTAAGCTGTGTGTCATTAACATCATGACTAGTCATGATTCTCAGTGCAGCTAAAAACTCCTGCACTGTCAGATGAATGAAGCAGTAGGCATTGGCAAGTATCCCGTCCTGACGTCTGAGCTCCACCTAACAGCAGGTAAGTAATTATGTTATTATTAATAATATCTTACAAACATGACAAGTCATCTAAAGGGACAACCTTTATCTACCCTTACTCTGTTTACTACACACAGCCCTATCTATGCCCACTGTAAGGAAACACAAATAACTTTTGCCCACTAAGCAAATCTATTAATAGTATCAATAGTATAAATAGCATGCAAACACTCGACAACAAGGATTTTGTGGACATTCACAGATATGAGGAGGACATTAATGCATGCATTCATGTCTGACCTGTGATAAGAGTCCTATTTTCAATGAAAACTTTAAAACCTCCTGTGGAATCTCTTCTTTCAAAAAGAGTATCTTGCTTTCCTCTAAGCCTCTCCAAGCCAGCTGGCTCAGCTCACACAGCTCCGATTGATACTGACTCAGAATGGTCAGTGTGGTGACAGCACTGCACGGAAAGACAGAAAACAGAGATAATCCATAAACTGAAGCATGACGCGTTTTTTGCTACACTGGTGCTTTCTTTTCTAAATAGTCATTTTTTAAATTACTTTATATTTTTTGAAATATAATGTTCAAGATGGTGATACACTAGAGTGAGTTCACAGCTCCGTCTCTACCTGTGAGGAAATCTTTTAGTTTTTGGCTTGCCATCTCCTCCGTGGTTAGGGGCTCGGCTAAGAAATGAGGCCAGAACAGTGAGGTAGACCTGAGTTAGGGTGGCGGGGACTTGGAGTGAAGTGGGAGTCAGCTGAGGTCTGCCATTTGTTCCATCCATTATTACATCTTTGCTCCCTTTTCTTTTTCCATCCTCTTGTTTCCTTTGTGCAGGGTTTCCTCTTCTATTGCCCTCCTCCCCTCTGGCTTCTCTTGACATCTGTGCTCCTTCTGCTTCCTGAGCATCTGTCCTTGCCTTACTTCCTTTTTCGTCAGGCATCGGTGCTCCTCCTGTGTCTTTATCTCTACACTGCAGCAGTAAATGCTCAAGACAGATGCAGCAGATGTTGCATAGGGCAGGAATGGAAGACATGGCGAGGAGGTGTCGACTGGAGAGAAGGAGCTGTGCTGCCTGCTCTCTAAGAGCTACATCTGCTGGGTGTAAATGATGATTAAACTAGTTAAAGACAACATACATTTAAGATAGACGTGCACAAGAATTTTATTTATTATTTTTACACCAATTTTTTCATGTTAGTAATGCAGCTATTACGCATGAGGTCCTGTTTTATGTGGAAATTACTCATTTCTACTAGTTTGAAAGTCTAAATTTTAGCAATTTGCCAGTTATACCTGGAAACAGGTGCTGGTTTGCAGGTCTAAATGAGCAAATATAGCACTGCAAAAGATGTAGATAATCCCAGATTAAGGTTATTTACATAAGATACTGCCAACAAGTAAAATAAACATGCAAGTTCAAACTTGGCTGATATTTATGTGAGTCTTGAAACCCACAGCAACCATAACTGAAGAGAAAATAAAAAATGCAGACAAGTGTCAAGTAAGAGTCAAAGAGAAAGCGAGAAAAACTATCAGAGACAACTTTGGCTGTGGGGAAAGAGAGAGCTAGATGTTTTCAAGAAATGAATAAGCAGCAAAAATCTGATGTCCAGAAAACCATATTTTATCAGTTAATACAAAAAAGTAGTAATAAGTGAATTATTCCTTTTTTTTCTAACTTGATATAATTGTATTGCCTTGATTATATATACTAAGCACCAACTTCCACAGAGAAAAATTAAGTTAATACAGAAGAGCCAAAAACAACACTTCCTCAAAGCTTTACAGAAATAAATAAAACAAATAAAATAATTAAATAAAGCCCAACAACAATGTAAATACAAGTAAATAAAGTTTTCACCTTTTGCACCAAAGAAGTTGTCTACATACTCCTTGATCTCATCCTGGTCCCAGCCCAGCAGCTGCCCTACTTTATCTGAAATGCCATCCAAATCTATAAGATCCCGTACACGACAGGTGACCAGCACAGTGCTTCCTGGAAGAATCTGGCGATTTAGCAACCCTGAGATGAGGTCTGCGACAGGCAGAGGATCTTCTAAGTGCAGCGGTTTCCTCTGCACTTCTTGTCTGCTGAGTTTGCCGTGAAACTCATCATAGCCATCCAGTACCCAACAGCTTTGCTCTGGATTAGTAAGGAGGTAGTCGATAATGGCTCTCTGTTCAAACGAAGAATACGTTTAGAAGCAGTTGAATTTCACACCTGTAGTTTGTTTACTCTGGCCCAAATCAGCTGATGAGTTCATAAAACTGTAGCCCTTTTCCCATGGATTCATTTTTTTTCTTACACAAACACAACTCTGATCTTCAATTTACATTCATTTTATCACTAATATGGTATGATATTCTGTCACATCCCAGAATGCAAAGCATAACTAACTATGTGAAGGGGTTTAGCTCAAACCAGATTTTGATTTAAATGAAATGCATCCCTATGTTTAGTATCACAAATGTACTGTTTTATAACAAGTATTACTCAAGCATTACGTGCGTACCTTTGCATCTTCTCCCCCAGTTGGAGGGAGGTAGTACTGGAAAAGCAGCTCTGATAGTGAAAGAGGGTGTGACAGTAGGTTGAGCTGACGAAACTCCAGCAGGACAAACACAAAGGATGAAGGGATAGGACCCTGGATGAGATGGAGAGGAGAACAATTGGCAGAGGAAAGAAAGTCATATCAAATTCTGTTTGCACAGCTTAGGTAGTTTCACAAATGTGAAAGTTGTAAAAAGCATTCACTGGCTCCAGAAGAAACATGTTTGCAGTGGAAAAATGGCTGAACAAGTAGCTGCCTGATAGTAGCAGGAGTATCTTTACTTTTATTCTTAATGCACCAAATTGATAATTTATTGATTAGGTTTTTCCAATAAACAATGAGAATGCAGAGTTTGGATCATCTGCAACCTCTGCAAGGTCAGTGATGGTTCCTAAGCCTACAGCATACTCTAATAATGATAACCACAGTAAATACAGTATGGATACAGTATGGAAATAAAGCTGCTCTATGTTTTTATAACACTAGCATGCAAATTCTGGGACAATGGCTCTTCCTTTATTCCTCTGAATACAAATAAGGCCAGCACTAGCCATACAGATGAACATAGAACATGTCTGATAACGCAAATAATTATAAATGTTGACAAAAAGTGAACTTACTAATCCACTAGCCCACTGCTGTCCTAAACAGGATGTTAGCAGAGTTTTTCCTGATCCAGTCTGGCCCACCAGAACTGTCACTTTACCCATACATCCCTGGAGGAACGCCTCCAACGTCACTCTGGACTCCAAATACCCGTAATCCCCATCGGGCTCTGAGTTTGGTGAGAAAGATGTGAGGTGTGCAGCAGACTTCAAATATTCATGATTAGGTAAGTTTACATGAAAAGCTTAGAACATACAAAACTGCTATGATTTTATTTCTTTGTGCACCACAAGATACTTTAAAAAAATCCCTTTATTTTAAAAAAAGTCCAATCATCAACTGGTACAATTAGAGGAAGTCTTGCTGACCTGGTGTTCTGCCCCCTCTGTCTGCTGAGCCAGGGGTTTGATCAGGTCTGTCTCTGCTTCTGTTTGCCGCTCTTGGGCTGACCCATACATTCTCCAGCTGGACCTCCCTCACCAGGCCAGCTGTGAGTCGCTCCCATCTCTTCAGCAGGAATTTCTTCACTTCACTGATGTACTGCTCCCAGTGATCTGTGGGTGGAACCCATTATAAAAGTTAGAAGTGAATAACACAGATAATCTCTTTACAGTGCAATTGTATTGCTTAAAAATGTCAGCCCTGGGTTTCAGGTTGATCTTATTTTGATATCTAAGACATAGGCCCGCTCTGATGACATCAGCTTCCCGCAGTGTACAATAATTGCTCAACTACATGAAGCAGCACAACTAAATGCTAAACTAAAGACTTCCTCATCAATTTCAACTGATTATCTGTGGGATGATGTGTAACACTCATCCACGTAAGCCCAATTTCCCTATCCCCTACATACAACATAAAAACAATT